CGTCATTGTCGTCATCATCATCATCGACATCACCATCATCACCATCATCATCATCAACATCGTCATCATCATCATCATCATCATCAGTAACAGCGTCATCCATGATCATGATGATGACGATGACGATGACGATGGTGATGATGATGATGAGGAGGAGGAGGATGGTGATGATGATGATGATGATGATGATGATAATGATGAATGATGAAGATGAAGATGATGATGATGATGATGACTGGTTCAGGTGGACAACTCGCAGCCTTGGTACGTGGCCCTGGCAGTCTTGGTTTGCTTCTCGCTCTTTGTGCAGATGGCAGAGGTGGGCTCCGCTCAGCAAACCTTGAAGCACGTTGTCGGAAGGATAACTCTCGTTGGAATAACTGAATCACACAGCCTTTGAGGGCACCTCCTATGGCATCGTGCCGTTCATGAACCGGAAGCTTGGATCGCAAAGAAGATTGTGGGTGATTCGCAGTTGCCACCTGTTGCAGTAATGTGGGAGAGGTCAGCACGTCAAGGGGTCATGGCAACAACTCAACCTTCGCAATCCTTTGCATGCGAACGTCAGGAAGCAGCTCGCAGTTGTGTCCGCGCTTGTGGGTGCCGGTGGAAATCTCGGCGCAGTGACACTTGGCAGCAAGCATTCTTGCAATGGAACGACGGGGGCCTGTTGATGAGGCGGCTGGTTGCGAGAGATTGATCATTTTGCTGTCTACCAGATGAGGCCTTCTCCAGTTCTCATTCAGTTGCATTGCCCCCAAATTACCAGATTGAACCATGATGATCCCGCACGCAATGCGAGCAGCACAAATTCGGTGCCCAGGATTGCAGGCTTCTGCTTTTACAAGCCGATCCAGGATGCGCTGCTGCCTTTCCAGGCAGGGTCGAAGTTCAAGCATGGCATTCGTCTTGGGATTCAGGGATGCTCCAGGCTCGCCGGTAGGCGTTGAACGTGCGCGTGCCTGTGGCGTAAGCGGAGACGCACCACGCATCGTCACTTGTTTCCCTTTGCAGACGCGAAGCTGGCGTCATCAGACCCACGCCAACAGTCATGTCTCTCTTCTGTTCGCGTACGCTGTTCAATCCGGACGCCCAGGGTTTCCACAACAATCGTGGGACCCGGATCCCTATAACCCAGATAGGCTCACCCAGTGTCTTATGACGTATGACTTATTGCTCAGAGCCCTTAGGCTGGGCTCCTTCGTTGAACAGGTTCACGCGGGCTACGTCATGTTTTGGGCGCTGCTGAGCCCCTGCTACTACTGGTCCGAGATGGGTGGGATGTTCCACGGACCGGCACAGAGCTTCGAGAAGGCCAAGGGCCTCAAGATCAAAGCGTGTGCTTCCATTCTCATGCGAGTTGAAGATAGGCTCGCAAGCACATAGGACCACAGGACATAGGAGTTTCAGCATGGAGCTTGGGTTCAGTGTATGTGGAAAATCTGCACCATTTTCTGGTAAGGCGGTAGGTATGGCAGGAACACAAAGGAAGTCCTGTGAAACCATGTTTTTGGAGACAGGCATGTGGGGTCTCAGGGTTGACTGTGGCAGCTGGAAATCTGAGCTTTGCAGGGCAAGAACCAAAGCAGCGAGTCCGAGTCTTACACGGAGTCCGAGGCCACCAGCGAGAACTGCTTGTGAATGTTAAGCCTTGTTCAGAAAGGAGGCAGCCTAACACTCGAGGCTGAACACAAAGCACTTACAGTATGTTAATTCGATTGCTCGAGCCAGTTTTGTGTAGTCGGTCGGTGCTTTAGCATGGAGTGCAATGCACCGGCGAGTTCAGACGGCCCCCGACGCTTGGCATACAGCTGTGCGCCGGGCCTGCCTTTTCCATAAAACTCCAGGCAGATGACTTGGTTGGTGTGTGGGCAAGCATCACAGCATGCTACAACATTAGCTACAGAAAGGATCCAAGCGACAGGGCATGGAAGCGAGCTATTCGGGGGGAATTCGGTGATGTCGGTCCGAGTCGGGGCCCGTTCCACATGTTCGCCCGCTCGAGTCATTATTTTGCCTGGCGCCGCAGCCCACTTCCTGCCTCCAGTACTCGCTCCGAACTGTTTCTTCCAGCCATGGCCAGTCCGCAGACTCCGCAAGATTGGCAGGCCTGGCAAGAGCTCTCTGCATTCATGGACGGGAATGTGCTGCTGTCTCAGGGTGCACAACACAAGACCCTGGCACTGCAAGCCTGAACGGAAGCACGTCGAACACAGAGCCGATAGTCGAGCTCAGAGCCTTTCCCAAGAGAATCCTTTAGTAAGTTCTTTGCAAGCCAAAAGGCGCGAGAGGAAGCCAGAGAGAGAGAGGGAGAGAGAGCTCCCCCGAGAGCCCAGCTCGACACACCTTTTTGTCGGGGGCGTAAATAGGAGACGGGGCCGCTGATGCGAAATGGGGGTTTACCTTTTTCATGTTTTGCCGGGGACCTTTCCCCTAACCGAGTCGTTCACTCTCCTGTCTACCCCCCGATCTGAAGTTTCACGCCGACTCCAGACGTGGACACAGGCTCAGAGCGTAAGCGCAGGGCGAGGGGTCCGAGTGTCCGCAAGCCCAGACGTCCAGCAAGCAAGCAAGCAAGAGATCCCCCCACAGGTGTTTGTGGCCACAGATCGAAGGACAGTAAGCAAACGAGACATACGGTTGCAAGGTTTGCTTGGGGAGGACCTGAGCGCCAAGCTCAGCCTGTTGCGGTAACTGTTTGTACAGGGCTTCTGCAAGCAATCCAGAGAGGCTTCAGTTTCCAAGTTTCCAGCTGAAGCGGTTGACCCTTATCTCTGCCAATCTCCGTTGCACCTGGGTGCAAAACAGCATGTGACCTTTTCTTCCACGTACCTCGGGGGAATCACAACTCGCAGCCTTTTCTTACTTTTTTTAGTGCCCTGAAACCTGGCAACCGTATGTTCTAAACGACGGGGTATGTGAGAAGTGAGAAGAGGGCCAATCGGCCCGGGAGACCTGACCAGTCTCCTCAGCCCCCGAAGTGAAGTGAAGAGAGAGGCTTGGCTTTGGGCATCGCTTTGAGTGAGGGATCGCTTTGCTTCGGGAGGTCCTCTCACAGTCCTCCTGGCAAGCACCCTGGCGAAGTACGGGTGTGCGTTCGGGACCCCTGCTGCTATGCTACCACTGCTACGGCTGCTCCGACGTTGCTACGAAACCTCCTAGCACGTGCAGCCTTAGTGGCAAGGCCTGAATCACTCGCGCCAGCGCACTCGATAGTAAGTGATGCTGCAAAGCTTGAAGCCTTGAAAGTGTTGGGGTTCGTGTCTTCAGGGGCCGCTTGCCTGAAGCAGAAGCTCCTCGGCCGAGATCGTTGGCCCGCCGCTCTCGCAGCCTGGCAGCGCTGCGCCAGCCAGCTTCAGCTTCGCCGCAGCGCAGGCCTCTCCCCAGAAGGCAAGAGAGCTGACGCTAAGGGATAGAAAATCATGTGGCCTCCTCATTGTGGTAAGTTAAGGAAAGCAAAGCGTGAATCTTCTGCTGGCAACCTTTCGAGCACAGGCGGAGACGTTGCCTGCGCTCGGTAAACGCAGAAGTAGACTGAGAGAGAGGCCTGTGCAGTGGCCCTCGGCCCGAAGAATCGGTCGTGGGTCTGAAACGCGGCTGACATGTAAAGTCCCCAAGTCTTGCTTGGACTTGCGCCATCTTGGTACCACAGTACCACTCCCTGCCTCTTGATTTCGCTAGCATGGCAAGACCTTTCTTAGGCTATTGGGCACTCTTCTCCTTCTCTGTCTCTCTCTCTCCCTCTGTCTATTTCTCTCTCTCGCTCTCTCTGTCTTTCTCGCTCTCTCTCTCTCTCTCTTTCTTTTTCTCTCTCTCTCTCTCTCTCGCTCTTTCTCGCTCTCTCTCTTTCTCTTTCTCTCTCTCTGTCTCTCTGAGGGCGGAGGCGCCCCAAGTAATCCCCACTCACGACAACCTCGATCTCGAAGCCACGCACCTCCTGGGAAGGCCGATCAGCAGCAGCTGCAGCAGCAGCAGCAGCAGCTGCAGCAGAAATTGCTGCAGCACCGACAGCAGCAGCAGCAGCAGCAGCAGCAGCAGCAGCAGCAGCAGCAGCAGTCCTGGCAAGCTTCCCGGCCACAATTCGGCTGCTGGAAGGGTTGGGTTTCGCAAGGTGCGTAACAGTTGTGGCTAGAGTGTCGCTCATGTTTTCGGACGAGCCTGTGCGAGGGCAACCGCTATCATGACGGTGAGCAGACTGATCAAAACCCCACCCCCCAAAATCAGGCCTGGCAACTCGACATGTTTTCGACGCCGAGGTTGTAGGCCAGGCTTCGCAGCTTGCACCGGGCGGCTATGGCAGCTACGGCTATCAGCCATCTCCCGGCTTTGTCACCCAGGTCTTGGGTTTGAGGGCGAACTTGTGCAGCCGATGATGGGCCATGTCCTGGCCAAGCCGTCGAGCAGACACTACCGTCAGTCAGAACGTGCTCAAGAATTACAGTCGAAAAGCTGATCGAAGGAGTAGGTCAGAAGGATTATGCAGTTTAGTTGCACAAATCAGCATAGTTCCTGCATGATGACCCCTCATGTAACATGGCGTAGGCTCAAGCGGCTTGGAAATGCTCCTTGGCCAGGTGCCACCTGGGGTTGCACTGCCCGGCGGGTATGCGCAACAGCAGCCGTCGCCCATGGGGTTTCAACAGGCTCGGGTTTCAGACTCCGCCATCGCCATGACTACTCGGTTCTTGTTGCAGAGTATGGGCTCTCCTGTAGCAGAGGGGCGAAGGCACGCGACTGTCACCACCCATGGTTTCTGAGCTTCTGAGCTTCGCTTCATGAGTCCTGATCAGCCCTTCAGCGAGTGCTGTGGGCATTTCGGGTCATCGTTTTAGGGTTTGTGCCTGCTGACAGGCGGAGGTGCACAAGCTAAGTCCACCAGCTGCTGGCAAGAAGCTGTTCGGGCAGGACGCATCTAACCTTAAATTGATTCAACGTGAGGCCCTCCCAAAACCTTGAAGCTGAGCATCACCATCACACCAGCATAAACATTTCACGTGGCCCTCCTTGAGAGCTGCCCAGAGGACAAGGAAGACAAGGCCCTGGGTGGTATCATCCTGACCCTGTGTGACGGATCCTCCTACGATCCGATCTTCAAGGATGCCCAAGCCGAAGCAGGGTGTTTCTTTGGAACATGCTGATTTCAGGCTTCTGGGCCTAGGCAGGATCGCCCGATCCCGGTAGAGTCGGTAGAGTGTTGCAGATTCTTGGCGCTGAATGCGTCAATTCGCGAAACCGGCTACGGGAATTGGGAAAGGCTGCAAAATTTTGCCCCTTGAAACCCCGGCCCCGCTGCTCAGTCCGTTGGTCTCAGGGGTCTTGAAGTCTTTGATCTTCCCGTGCAGGCTCCCATCCATGCGCACTCCATGCTCAAATACGAAAAGCGGCCCTAGCTGAGCGTTAGACTGCCGGGAGCAGAGGTCCCACCCAACGGCATCTGAGCCCAAGAGCCAGGAGATGTCGCAGTCCGACGACGACGGTACTGTGCCGTCATCGCATGCAGAGCTGTATGCGAAGGTCAGTCTTGCAGCCCAGTGCTCTTCGTAATCACACCCTGGAATGCCTTTCACCTCACAAAGCATGGCGGGCTTCCTCGGCCAGCCGAGGTTGTGGCCGTATATGCCGCGCCGGAGCTGCATTCAAATTGACGAGTTCGGTAAGTCAGTGAGGTTCTCAACAGCGGCAGTGTGGAAGTACCAGTTTACGAAACGTACAAGTTGTAAGCTACCGTCCGGTCGCTGAACAGTCCTTGCAGCTAACCTCCCCCTGAACAGGATTCAGGCTCGAAGACTTGAGGTGTCCTCGATCTTGGAATGTCCGGAGGCTTCAGGTCAGGTCTGGCCCCGAATCGACACCCTGGCTCCTGCCCTGCCCGCCCTGCCCGCCTGGAACCTAAAACGGGAAGCAAAGCTTCCAGAGGTGGCGATGAGGAGTGCCGAGGAACTCGGCAAAGCCATCGAGGAGCCGCCCTTTTAGGGAGCGGGGACGCCCTCACCTCACACAAGACCGCACCCGTCGCAGCAGGAGGGCCACACGTCGAAGCCGGAGCTGGCAGAGCTTCTCAAGGATCTTCAGGCCGGGTGCGAGCACGTGGCAGACATTCAAAGGACCCTTCGGGTCCTGTCCTGGGAGTTCTTGTGCAGCATTCAGCTTCAACCTCAGGCCGTCCCGAAAGAGAAGGTTGTGTTCAACTGGGTGCTTCGGCATCGACCCAGAGCTCGGAGACTGGGGGCGTAGTGGCGTAGTAGCTGGTCACCTCGTTTCGAGCATTTTTTTGCTGCTCTTCCCTGTCATTCTCGTGGCCATGGCCCCACAGTGGCCCCAAACACGAAGGAATGCTGCAGCGGCTGCAGCGAGGCGGGCTTTCCGCACGGCACCCCGCCTCATCCGGAGGTCGAGGGCTTTAGGGTTTGGGCAAACGGGGGTATGCCTGGCAGTTAGGAAGTTTGACTTGGGCTGCAGGTTTCGGACCCGTCGGATCCATTGTCGTGTAGAAGTCTGGTTGCTTCCTGCCGGGTGCGCGATGATCCCGGCATCGGTTTTGTTGCAGAATGTTCTACTGTACCCCATTTTAAAACTTTTGAGGCACTCTGTTTGTCATTCAGTGTTACCAAAATCTGAAATCAGCTACGTTCTCAAAGTTGTGCGACAGTTTGCTCTGCTCAGTGCTTCATGGAGCGCCCAGGATTCGCCCTGCAGTATCCCGCGCAGCGAGCACCGAGCATCGTGAAGCTCCACCAGGCCCGCTGGTTTTCAGACACGCCGGCCTTTGCCTTGGGACCCCTTGTGGGGGGGGAGAATCTGAGAAGGCGCCGATGAACGTGAAGCTGGCGAAGCTAGCTCTCGATCGCGGATACATGGTGATGCATCCCGGCCTCAAAAACAAAGCCACAAAACCCAAGTCCAAAACTGGGAGCTGCGATCCCTGCAATGGAAACCACCCAGGTTTGCGGACTTCAGCCTCAAGGCCGGACCGCAGCTAAGGTTCGGGCGCAGAAGTCATGTAACTCGCACAGCGACGATATCGATTGCGCAGTCTGGAGCATTGTTGGTTGTGTGCCTACGATACTAAAGCACATTTGCTCTTCCGGCTCGTGTTGCGACGTCCGACGAAGCACTCAAGACGCGCAGAAAACAGGCGCTCATCGCCAGCTGGAGCGAGGAATTGCTCGGCCCGAAACCTTTCCGACAGCTGGGCGCCTTGTTGGCCTTGAAGAGTCGACATGCGCTTGCAGTGTTGAATGTGCTCTGTCTTGCAGCCAAGTGAAGATTTGCACTGGAGGTGTGCACAAGGCAGAAACCAGCAAGCAAGATCTTTCCGAGTGATTTTAGACGTGACTTCGAGCTTGGAGTGCTCTGTTTTGCTTCAACAGCCATAGCCAGAGAAGCCTCCAACAGGCCAGGACGCGTAAGCCCTGCACTCAGGCGTCACGCAAGGCAAACTCCGGCTCACATTCTCGCTGCTGGGCCAAGAAACCCGAAATGCCAAGGCTGTTTCCAAGAGGCGTAAGCAGGACAGTCCATGACCGGGGCGGCTGCTTTGGCCCATGAAGGAGAATGGTTGCTTCTTGTGATTGCTGCGATCTCCGAAGTAGACGTGAGACCGGAGCGGCCCGAGGCCAGAGACCTTGAAGCAGAGCTCCTCCAAGCAGCTCGTCAAGGCCGAGGGTCGGAAGCCGATGCTTTCACCTTTCCACTCTTTGGGTGTCAGCGGCCTTGGCCGTCCTGGAGCAGAGCAGGTCGGGGAGCTGTGCACCACCGGCACCGCCGATATCAATGTGGCTCCGACCGACTTTTGGGAGCGCTGGAAATCGTCTGCGTTGGGCCTTGGGTTTCTAGTTTCACAGGTGCAGGCTCAGCTTTACAAGCTAAGGCAGCATTCCAAATTTCAGAGCTCAGATGCCTGCCGAATGCCAGGCGATGGGTTCAACCATCGTCTATGGAGTGGTTGACGAGGTTCGCCGGCTATGCGGCTATGCATCCTCACTAGGGGGCTTCAAACCGTGCATCCTCCCTCCATCGAGCACGAAATCCCGGCAATCTCAGGAGCTTCAAGTCGTCGCCCCACCTCCACCCACCCTGAAGCCCGAAGCTCCGGAGAAGCTTGAACCTTGGAGAGGCAATACCTCGAAAGAAGTAGCAGCAGCAGCACACGAAAAGAAGCATGCGCAACATAACACACGCAGCTGACAGGCGCGAAGCCCGCCGAAACTCCACGGCCTTCTTGGACCTGCCCTGATCGTTGTCCCGTGACCCTCCCTGCCAGGCGGAGAAGCGCGCACATTCCAGTGGCGCCTACAAGCTGCAGAGGCAAGGGGGGGTTCTGTGGGTCGCACGGTTCTGCAGGTGGTCCGTAAACGGTGTGCATCGTGATAGATCCAAGGTGGGGAGGTACTGTAGGTCCGTAGATACACATGTAGCTAGCTATGTTGATAGATCTACTGCTCGCACTGCAGCCGCCCTTCTAAGAGGCCTTGACGGAAATGTCTTAAAGACCCTAAGCTACCTGGGCCCTAGGCCCTAGGCCCTTAACCCCAAGATTTGCTGGTCCGACGTTCGCTCGTTGCCCTTCAGGCTCACGGAGGCCGCCGCGCTCGGAGACCAAGGGCCATCCTCGGCGGGGCACGTGATGTCACCCGGCCCTTGAAGCGAATTTTCATGGGGCCCGGCCCCTTGGGGTTTTGGGACAGGCTGACCTACCCCAGTGGCGGCCGACTTCTGACCAGCGCGGGCCACTGGAAGGACGTATTCCCGGTGCCCAGCGTGGCTCTGACTGCTCTGCAGGTCGAAAGGCTGAGGCATGTGGACTGCCTTGCTTCTGCGCATTGCGCAGACGGCGACTCGCAGGAGCTGGCATACCTGGGCGGGGTCTCCGAAGAGGCGCGCCTCAGCGGGCAGCTGCATTGCATGGTCTCACCTGACTATTTGGAGCCCTCTGATGGGCAGGGCCTGCTGCGCGTGGCAGAGCAGCGATTCGGCCAGGCCTGACTGCATCGTTTTTTTGGGGGCAGCTTGGGGCATTGGCTGGGAGGAGCAGGGGAGAGAGGCGGGAGAGGGCAACGACAGTGGGTAAGGGGAGAGAAGCAACGTCGCATCAGGCATATTCGGCACAGATGCAGACCAGCTGCCCGGCTTTATCTCGAGTTGCCTCCGAAGGGCCTTTGCTTCAACACGTCCTTTTCCGGATAGCTGGGAGATTTCGGGTTTACCGATACAGCGTGACGGCACTCGTGATGGCTCCGAGGCCTGCAGCAGTGCAAGAGCGAGTTCGCCCGGCAACAGATGCAGCAGGGCTTTGCCTCTGCTTGTGTCCAGAGCTACACGCCCTACTAAGTCGGCTGAGCCGACGGCGGGTTTTAATTGACTGTTTGGCAGGACACTGCTCCTTGGCTTGCGGTTCCATTGGCAAGAGAGGCCGAATGTACAGTCTCGGCAAAGTTCCCTTGCAGTTCTTGGCGCAGTTAGGAGACTTGAATGGCTGGGGGTTTATGCGCCGTGATCCTCTTACCATGTGCAGATGGGAGGACGAAGAAGAAGATGCCACAAAACAGGGCCGTTGCTATTGTTCTCGACGATACGTCCCTTCGGCTTCGGGGCTAGCGGACATCGCAAGAGTCCGACGCACGATCTGCTCGCCTTCCTCGGGCCTTGAACCCTTAAGCCCGTGGAACCAGCTGCGGCCTCGCCTGGCACATGCCGAGTCCGGACTCGCTAGGAGCCAGGCCTCAATCCCCAAGCCTGCTGAGCGTTGCTACCAGTCGTCTCAACTTTCATGATTCCGAGCTGAACACTCGGATTCTGCGGCTTCGCTCACAGGAGACGACCCCGGCCTGGCAAGTCGTGCAAGCCTACCGTTCGGTGGAGGCGAGCAGGGGCTCCACTGCTTTCGGGCTTGGGATTGCTTCGGTTCGGGGTGGGTGGGTCCCGCCTATCGAGAGATGTCTTGGATGAGCCAATCATCAGGAAGTGGCGAATGTCGTCTGGAGCTGCGGATTTCGGCTCACTGAAGTCACCCAGCGCAGTTTTTTTTTAAATGGTTCCAGATAGGGTTTCAAGACACTAGCCAAACTACTCGTAGCCGACCTCATCCTACACGTAGGGCCTAGGGGTCTCTCTGAAGGACCCTCACCGTTCCTCTCCGTCTCGTGTCAGCGGTATTGCCGCTCCTTGTCGCTGTCCATGAACGCCGCGGCTGGAAGTGATGGGGCGCAGCGCGCGCAGGGGCGCCTCGGCCTGCACCAGTGAGTCTCAAATCTCGTGTAGCTGCCCCTTGAAGAGCTGAAACTCATGGTTTCGCTGGAGGAAACACGGCGACGGAAGCGGCTGCTCCCTCAAAGCCCTTCCTTCTCGGCAGCCCAAGCTGAGGAGCCAATGCTTCCATCGAGCAGGCTCGGGGTCCGATCCGTGGAACGCCGTTTGAGTTGTCTTCTCAGCCGATTCGATCTGAGATGGGGCCGAGCTTCACCCCCGCCTGTCCGGGTGAAGGCGCGGCAAATCACGAGGCGTCTCGTGGCTCTCCGAGCAGAAGGCCCGCACGGTATGGTACCAGAAGGATCGATTTGACTCAGAGTCAAGGTCTCGAGGCCTGGTTCGGGGAGGTTTTGTTCTCAAAGCTTCTGGTAGGAGTTCGGGGCTTCGATTAAGACAAGCCGTAATGTGCAGGTGCACATACTCGTAGCATCTTAAAGAACCCTGAGCCTGCAGCCAATCCGCCCACACCATGTGCCGACGGAAACCCCAAGACGTCGCATCTCCTCCCACATGCTGGAATGCTACACCTGCGCGAGGCCAGTGGGCTCAGGTCTTGAACTTGCTTCGACACTCGGCCCTCGCTCTGTCTGCATGGATTTGGGTGTTCTGCTTTGCGTTCGGTTCTGGGATCTGTTTGTTGCTTTTGGAGAGCCTGATTCTATGTTATTGTTGGACAATCGAGACCCCTATGCTGGGCTCCACACACACAGAGGTTGTGTGTTGCCTTCGGATGCAGGCCAACGGTCATCCGAGTCATCCGACGGCAGAATGCCAAGCTCCCCCTTTACTGTCTGTGTTTCCTGCATACTGGCCCCATACTACATGGACAAGTCCTGCCAAGGAGCTGCGCAGTCGGGACGAGTCGGCTGGAACATTGTCCATTGCAACCCTGCGACAGTCAGAGACTTCAGGAATGCCGGGGTGTCGGCTGAGGCTCTGGCTCTGAGCTCTCTTCCGCTCGGTTGATGGGGATTGAAGTTTGAAGCTCGTACTTCCAAAAGGCAGGTTGTTGAAGCTGCTTCGAATCCATGATCTACCTCAACTGCTAGCGCCAAGTTGCATCCGCTCCACGGAACCTACTACAGTTAGCCACGTGGGGCTTAGATCATGCTTCGTCATCGCGCACTCCTGCCGCGCAGAAACATGGCTTAGGCAACGCCGCGCTGTCGGCGCTTGCGGACGCGAGCCAGCTTCTGGGACTTTATGAGATCCTTAAGAAGTCATCGACTCACGCTACAGCCACGACGACGTCGACGACCACATCTTCTCCCTCCATGTCTACTGCACAACACCCGTAACTACCGTTGCTACCTTTTCGAGCTCAGAACTTCCTGTTTGTGTATCTTCTGGTTGAAGTTCCAGTGCAGGTGGTCGCGGCAGCTTCGCATCTTCGCCACCCTTCAGGAGCACCAGGCCCAAGACCTTTGGAAGCTTCGAATGTGAGGAGCTGCAGTCCCTTGAAGCGGAGCCTTGAAGTTCTCTTCGAATCAAGTTCTGAGTCCTGTCGTCAGATCTCGCAATGTCGGCCCCCGAAGCTCACTACCGAGACCCACAGCCTCCTTTGAGCTCTGCGTGCCAGATCGAGGTCTTGCTACAGTATGAGTCCCTCCTGATGTTCCAAGATTCCTCTCGCTTTCCGCCCTGACCCAGCTGGTTTTTAGGTCCGGCCCACAGCCTCCACGTTTGGTGCGCTTTTGGCCGGCGCGGTGGCCTCCTGGGAAGGGGCCCTGGCGCTTCTGAAGGCCAGGGGCACGGGGGGGGGTAAACGGGTAAAGGGAGTGTTTCATGGAGCCCCTTAGCCTTAGAGACTTCGATTCTGCCTTAATGCCCGAAGCCCTGTGAGGAGATGCCTCAGTGGCAAGTACAACGAGACACTGTTGTACCTGGGCTATAGCACTGAGACTCTGAGAACTCCCGAGGTCACGAGACTGAGTTTTTCCTGAGTCCTTGGTCATCCGCGTTGTGCAGAGGCATGTCCTGGTCATGAGTGAAAGGGAACCTAGGCTCCGAGACATTTTGCCGTCTCTCAAGCCGGCCAATGCCGAGGCATGCAATACCGCGATTACCGCCTGCGCCAGAGAGCCTCGGATGGATGAGATGAGCAGAAACACCCCGAGGAGAGATGCAATTCTAGATTCGAAGCTTCGAGAGCTGCCTTGCTTGGAGTCTTCGGACCTCCGAGGCTGCCCAGTGGGAGGCCGCTTGCGAGCTCGTGGCTGGACTTCCGATGGTTGGAGTGTTGTGTGATGTCTTGCGTGTCCCCTAGATTCCTAGAGAGCTTCATGTTGTGGTCGTTTCGGTCTTGGTGGTTGCAGTAGCACTGGGCGCATCGGGAGCCTCCAAGGTAAAGTCGATGCAACTGGCGACGCAAAGGGCGGCACTCCTCGCGGGTTTAAGACTTGGGTAGCCTGCATGAGGTCGGAAGTCGGAAGCTCTTACCGTCGGCCACTAGCAAAGGATCCCGGACACTTCCCATGCACGATGCAGGCTTTGGAAGTATTGCAGTGAGTCTACGCACGGTCGCCGATTCAGCGATGCGTGAACGCCGTGCAGAAAATGTGCCTGTGAGAATGCTGAAGCCACGGGGTTATCCGGCAACCATCCACTCCAAACCTACCTGAGAGCTTGGCTCTGTAAGTTGAAACTTGATGGACTTTCTTGGTGTCGTTCCACCAGACGGCCTGGCGAAAGCATAGAATATGCCTGCAACCGAATCCAAAGTCCCAGTCCCAGTCGTGTTTCAGCTTTGGGTTACGATTCGGATTCGCTGCCAGGACACGATCACGCAAAACGCCCTGATGAGCGCCCTCCACCAAGGCGGTGCGCGAGATTTAGAGCGAGGTCGACTGCAGCCTTGAGCCCGAAAGCTCGTCTGCAGACTACCTAATCTCGAAACATTGAACTTCCACAGTCGGCTTCTACATCCACGGCCGAGAGCTCTATGCCCAGTACACGCAATGATGAGCTCGAAAGCTTCAATCACCAGGCTCTCAGTGGGAGCATGCTCTGAAACTGTTGGCCTCTTCGCACCATGGCCGCCGCACCGTGGTGACCTGGAGCGACATGGCTTGGGAACCGGACAACGGGCGTGGAGGCTAAGACTAAATAAAGCTACAACTACTACGACCATATGATGTCCGACCACTACCACCAGCACCGCCACAACGACGACTACTCCTGCGACGAAGACTACGACGACTACTACCACTACTACCACTACAACCACTACTGCTACCACAACAACAACTACTACTACTACCACTACCAC